ACATACGAGTAACATACGAGTACATACGAGTAACATACGAGCACATACGAGTAACACGAATACATACGAGTAACATACGAGTAAAACACAAGTACATACGAGTAGAATACGAGTACATACGAGTAAAATACGACTAGTAAAGTTGTTTTTAGTGTTTGTAGATTGTATACAGGCAAAAAGATCGTCTTCTCTGTCGAAAAACGTGGAATGAGGGAACGGGGAATGGAGGAACAGGGAATGGGGAGAACGGAGAATGGAGGAACGAGTAACGGGGGGGTGGGATCGAGCAATTATGAATTATTATTAATACGTAATATTAATCATATGTACGGGGGGGGGGGGAAAGAACAGAAAAAAACCCCCAGAAATTCGACAGGATAAACGGGAATCGGGGAATTACGAAACTATAAAACGGACTCTGGTGTCTTGGGAATTAGAAAACCGCTCAATGAATTAAAACTAGTAAAGAAATTTAGCGAAGCTTTCCTTTATTAATAATAATAACATTGCTTATGTCATTACTAATATACTTGCTACATAATAAAACAAACTTTTAAAGGACTAGATGCAAGTCCAAGGCGGTCCTTATGCTCCATATGATATCTTAAAGTGATTATCCTTATTTTAAATATCTTACAAAGCAAAACTAACAAAACACAAAATACTTCAAAATACGCAGATTTTAAGTTAGCAATTTAAGTTGGCAAGTACGTTTCTAAAGGACCCAGCCGAACTCTCCTGCAAGCCTTTGGACGTGCTCCACCTTGAGAAGGGGAGGAAAGTCTGGAGGAACGAGAACGTCGCCAAGAGAACGTCGCCAAGAAAGCGTGGATACTTTGCTCTGATGCAGGCTGATCGGAAATGAAAATGCACGTTCTGAGGCTCACTTTCACCCCCCCCCCCCAGGAAAAGTCCCTTTTTCCTAAATTTATACAAACAAACCAGCGAAGAATAACAAATTGATAAACGGAACGTACGTTTTAGGCTTTATCCTTTGTCCTTGTTTAACAAAATCGATTTAAAGAACTGTGTCACCGCGTGCGCATCCTACGTGTTTCTAACACTAAGTAATGATAAATTATTGTTAATATTTTTAAAATTCTTTGTGTGTTTTTTTCCTTCTTTTATTTCAAATAGAAGTATAGTTAGGATAAATTTTAGAAACTTTAGATGCTCAGACGGCAGGAAATGGCATTTTTGGGCTTGAAATTTCAAAAATTTTCTGGGGAGTTAATGCCTCCAGACCCCCTATTCATTCGCGGTATGTCGGCCACACACGTAACCCACGGCCATTGCTATCCCCCTTTAATAATAAGTAATGGATAAATTATTGTTAAAGGTGATCTACAGTCTGTATGTAAACAAAGTCTTTGTTTACATTTTTCAGTCCAAAATATTGAGCTTTATTCGACAACTATTTATATTTTCAAGCTTCTAGAGTATAATAAATGATCAAGAAACAACAATCAGGCTTTTCAAGAACTCAAAACATAGTTAAACTGTTTGTATCATAAAAGTGGGCTCATTTGTGCACATGCGCAGATCGGACTGTAGATCACCTTTAATATTTCTTTTATTTTTTTCTGCATTTTTTCCTTCTTTTATTTCAAATACAAGTATAATTAGCATAAATTTTAGAGCAAATTTAGACGCTCATAAAGCAGGAAATGGTATTTGAAAGGTTCAAATTTAAAACATTTTCTGGGGGAGTATGTCGGCCACACACCGTGGCCGTCGGCCATTGCTATCCCCCTCTAATATATTATCTAAGATCCCTTTTAAAAAAATACCCCCCCCACGGGAAAATCCTTAAAAAAGGACCTGTTGTCCTGTATTTCGGTCTCGGAACTGCCGTATGTCGTCACGGTATAAGTTAACTGTGTAGTTCGTATATTTGCCTAGCCACATGTTGTGATTGAGGCTATGTGAGGATTGTAAGTTTATCACCTAGTACTATTTTAAGTAGATGCAGTTAGTGAGTTAGGTTTTGTGCATGCTCACAGGGTTTTGAAAGCAAACCATGCCGTGAAGTATGTGAAGCCTATGGTTTGTGTCATGTATCTAACTATCTCAGAGGTAGAATACCTAAAAGTAGATGTTGTACAAACTACAAAGTTGTGGTTTATAGAATCTGGCAGACCTCCCCCGCCCCCTGTCTCCTATTCCCTCCCTCCCCCCTCGCCCCTCCATTCCCCATTCCCCCACTTCCCGTTCTCCCATTCCCCGTCCCCCCATTCCCCGTTCCGGGTTTTAAAGATAGCCGGTTTCAGTCTATTTCACGTTTTTCGACAGAGAAGACGATCTTTTTGCCTGTATTCAATCTACAAACACTAAAAACAGGTTTACTAGTCGTATTTTACTCGTATTCTACTCGTATGTACTTGTGTTTTACTCATATGTACTCGTGTGTTACTCGTATGTACTCGTATGTTACTCGTATGTACTCGTATGTTACTCGTATGTACTTGTGTGTTACTCGTATGTACTCGTATGTACCTGTGTGTTACTCGTATGTTACTCGTATGTACTCGTGTGGTGTTTTAGTCACGATCCTTTTCGCATGTGTTGAATATAAATATCACTTTAGATTTCAATAGTTTCACAGTTATAGCAGTGTTTAAAACATTTTTGACAAGCTTTGATACAGTTCTGTGCACAGAATACTACAGATTGATTCTCGTAAGATCTGGTAGAGTTATCGTTGCACTGAATACGAGTTTGCACCGTTGACAACGGCGTTGTGCTAGACACTAGACAGTAAACAAAGACAAGGACCGTGAATGTACACGTGGGCTACATGTACCTCCTTGCTTTTTTCTTCTATTGCATAAAGCTTGTTGGCGAGCCAATTAAGCGATTAGCGATAACACCTAAACACGTTGGCTATCTCCTCGTCTTTCTTATTTATACAAGGAGCTCTGACTCAACTGATTCCTTTAGTCTCGTAAGTTTTTTTCTTCGTAAACGCCGTACAAACGTTTAACCGCTTCTGTTTAATAGTTGTTTATGCTTTATTGATCTGATACAAATCTGATGCAATTTTTCGCTCTTTGTACTGAGTATAGCCATCTATTCTGTGATGTAGCACCTTATACAGTCAATGACAATGTATAATGAATACACGGTCTAAATAATATCGACTGTAATGCATAACATCAATTTATATATTGTATTACTATTATTGCGTCGAATCTCAAAGATTTTCTCAATATTCATGTCTGAAATGTTTATATACTTGAAAACAACACTGTCTCGCTCTTCTGCCTGCACGTACTGTACCTCTGTATAATGAGTATGCCGTGAAAAAATAATATCGGCACTCAATTGAATGCCTAGAAGCAAGATTTTCGACTCAATATTTACGTCTGAAATGTTTATACACTTAACTGCACTGTCTAGGCGGTCTAGCTCCTTCCTAGCTCTGTATATCAGTATAATGAATATACCGTCTAAATATTATCGGCACTTAATTGAACGCCCGTAATGCATAAGATCAATTTATATATTGCGTAGATTTTCAAAGATTTACTCAATATTCACGTCTGAAATCTTTATACATCTGAAAACAACACTGTCACCCTTTCCTAGCATATCGTCACGCCATCGTGATCTACGGCTTGATAGCGCATGCGCATTTGCGCTACTAAAGAAAAAATCGGGTGTTCCGGGGTAAAGATCCTTTACACAACATGAGAAGCGAATGTTCTAAAATTTACAAAAAAATACAATAATGAAAGCGATTCCTCGAAATTTTTGTGAACTTGGCAAAAGGATAACAGAATATGTAAATAAGTTAACTGAAATTGCCTAAATAACCTTCAAAGTACTAAGTAAGTACAATAAATCACTACGAACATAAATCGTCTACACCCCCCGGAAAGTTTACTCTATGACTGACTGACTGACTGACTGACTGACTGACTGACTGACTGACTGACTGACTGACTGACTGACTGACTGACTGATTGACTGACTGACTGACTGACTGACTGACTGACTGACTGACTGACTGACTGACTGTTATATCGATGATCCTTTGTGTAACTTGCTGGTGCCCTTGTGTAACCAAACTTGTTACACAAAGGACCATCAGGTCCTTTTTGTAACTTAGTGTCCTTTAGGTAACTTAGCCTGTTCCTTTAGGTAACTTTGCTTGTTCCTTTTTGTAACACTGGTTCCTTTAGGTAACTTAGCCTGTTCCTTTTTGTAACATTGGTTCCTTAACGTAACTTAGCCTGTTCCTTTTTGTAACATTGGTTCCTTAACGTAACTTAGCCTGTTCCTTTTTGTAACATTGGTTCCTTAACGTAACGTAGCCTGTTACTATTTGTAACATTGGTTCCTTTAGGTAACCTATAATTTGTTTCTGATTTGTAACCTTTGTTCCTTGTATTGAGAACATATGCTGTTGTGACGGGGTTTTTATACTTCAGTGATGCAGTACAAAATAACTAAAGATGTTTCAAAGTAGAATACTATCAAACCAGATTATATATTGCATATTTAAGCGATTTTATGTATTTTTCTGAGGAGGCTATGGGTTAGTTTTTGTACATATTATAGTATAGGAGGGACAAAATATATGGAGACAGACATCAAATATGTGAAAGAGTAGAAGTATCTACTATCAAATATCAACTTTTTACACGACTAAAAATGAAATATCTCCTTTTTACATTAAACTTTAATTTAAATGTGTGCTGCCATATTTGTTGTCCCTCCAACAAGGGATTTGTGCACCTAGACCCAGGACTTTGGGAAATAGCTAATTAAGTATACAAATTATCTTCTATCATATTTATCTTTGTTAATTAATTTGTTATTTAAAGTGGAAGTCAAGTCCGTATGTAAACAAACGGTTTGTTTACATTTTGAACTGCTGTATTTTTTAAAATATGATGTACTGTCTGAATATCTAACACTATTTTGGTTCGCTATGCTTCTAAATAAATATGAAATAGAGTTTTAATATGTTCAGAAAAATTCGAAACATTCGAAATTTGGGCAATGTCTACATCAGAGGTCCTCACATTGTTATGAGCAGAACCGATGTGCAGAACGGATTTGACTTCCACTTTAAGTAAATTTGGGACAAAAATATTGTGTTTTATTTATACCAAAATGCTACATTTGCCCCCTTTAGGAAAGGAGACCTTGCCCCACCCCCTTTCCATCATCCCTGATACCATATAACTACATTCTAATTTAATTTCTAAAGTTGAGTTCTTTCCATGTTTTATTGAATCATTGTAGAGAATTTTCATTTTCCAAGAATTTATTATAAATAAATTAATTACCAGTCAGTAATTGATAGAAAACATTTGCAAATATTCCTTATATTCGTAGAGAAAGTACTGAAG